GCCCCCATATAAGAGTACCCCCAATTTTCGGTATTTTGGGGGTCTTGATCTCATTTTTCGACCGAATTCGCTGAAATTTGGTACTTTGAGTTCTTATTGGGTAGCAAATCTCCCTACCAAAAATTTAAAATATAGGTCCATTTTTTCGGATAGCCCCCATATAAGAGTACCCCCAATTTTCGGTATTTTGAGGTTCTTGAGCGCGTTTTTTAATTGAATTCGCTGAAATTTGGTACATTGAGTTCTTATTGGGTAGCAAATCTCCCTACCAAAAATTATAAATAAAGGTCCATTTTTTCGGAGAACCCCCATATAACGGTACCCCCAATTTTCGGTATTTTCGGGTTCTTGGGCTCGTTTTATAACGGAATTCTCTGAAATTTTGTACATTGGGTTCTTATTGGGTACCAAATTACTCCACTAAAAATTATAAATATAGGTCCAGTTTTTCTGGTAGTCCCCAAATTTTTGGTATTTTGGGGTTTCTGATCGTATTTTTCGACCGAATTGACTGTAATTTAGTACATCGAGTTCTTATTAGATAGCAAATTTCTCCACTATAAATTATAAATATTGGTCAATTTTTTCTGGTAGCCCCCATATAAGGGTACCCCTCAATTTTCGGTATTTTGAGGTTCTTGAACCAAATTCTTTTTATACTCTTCACCACACTGTGGTACAGGGTATTATGTCTCTGTGCATATGTTTGTAACAGGCAAAAGGAAACGACATAGACACATGGTTACTTTTGAGAATATGCCTATGCGATTTAAGCACGAAAATTGGCACAGCGTAACAAATTAGGTCTAGAATGATGTGTGTTAAGTTTCCTGAAAATTGGTTCAGATTTATATATAGCTCCCATATATATTTTCGTCCGATTAAATGTAAATTGCGCACCAAAGTCCCTATATATCTTTCGATTTGCACGAAATTTGGCACAGCGTAATGAATTATCTGTAGAATGATGTGTGTTAAGTTTCCTGAAAATCGGTTTAGATTTAGATATATATCTCATATATATTTTCGTCCGATTTAAGGTAAAGTGTGCACAAAAGTCCCTATATATCTCTCGATTTGCACTAAATTTAGCTCAGCGTAATGAATTAGGTCTAGAATGATGTATGTTAAGTTTCCTGAAAATCGGTTCGGATTTAGATATAGCTCCCATATACATTTTCGTCCGATTTAATGTAAATGGTGCACCAAAGTTCCTTAATATCTTTCGGTTTGCACTAAATTTGGCACAGCGTAATGAATTAGGTCTAGATGTGTGTTAAGTTTCCTGAAATCGGTTCAGATTTAGATATAGCTTCTAATTTAGTATCGGTTGCAGAATGACGTGTTTATGGTTCCAAATTCATTTTACTGATCCTTTAAAAATGCGACGTCTGTTAGGATTCATCTGTTGAATATACTCAAAGTGGTGAAGGGTATCATATAGTCGGCCCCGTCCGACTTTACTACTTTCCTTACTGGTTTTCAATAAATTTAATAAATAGAAAACTTGTTAAATTTGTATTTGTTTATATTTTATTAAAAATTAGTAATATTTTATTAGCATCTACAGTTTTAAATAATAAATATTTTATAACTAAAAAAGGTCGTCGAGTGAAAATTCAATCTGATGCCAACTCGCAACTGAAAATTCCATTGGATTACATTTTCGCTGATAATCGATTGCGCTGATCGGAAAAATGTATTGCATAAGACTACCTGTGCAAAAATCATAAAGAATATGTGGTTTTGTAACATTTATCCCAAAATCATAAAAATATTTTTTTCATACCCGCGTAATTTGTACACTTCTTTTAATGAATAAGCAGGTAATAATTATGTTGATTGTGTGACAATCACCAAATTTTGAATATTTTTGCTAAAATTTCCTAAAAGTATGAATCATAGATGGATGCAGGTATAATTGTTTTAAGAAAAAAATTTTCGTACTAGAATTTTACAAGGAGATCTCCCAATATTATGAAAAATATGTTCGTTGTGTAAATTAATGAAAATTTTATCCTAAGCTGTATAATTTTGTCACAAAAACAGGCCAAAATACCTATTTCAAATGGACATTTTCACTTTTTTAATTGCAAGTAAACTTACGATTTGTATTGTTCCGACCAGTGGAACACTACGATTTTTGGTGTTCCGATAAGCGGAACACTAACATTTTTAGTGTTCCGTCCAGAGGAACACAACGATTTTTAATGTACCGCAGTCGGTACACTACGATTTTTAGTGTACCGCTGTCGGTACACTACGATTTTTTAGTGTACCGCTGTCGGTACACTACGATTTTTTAGTGTACCGCAGCAGGTACGCTAAGATTTTCGTTGTGCTCCGGAACAGTAACGCTAAAAATATTTTTAGTGTTTGTGTACCGGTACAGTACGTTATTTTAGTGTACCTATCCACCTTGGTACGGTACAGAACACTATGGAACGGTACCATAATGTTTATTTTCGAACGCTGGTAAAAACAAATATATATGTATATCCGTGTATATATGTATATCCCTAATGGAAGATTTCGCCATTTTTTCTTACGTCATTTCATGCAACTTTTACTTATTTTTCCAGAGTAACTATCGTATGAACTAGGATAAATCCAATCGGTCAAGATCTTCCTTATTTTTATCTTGGTTTGTGGTAAAAAATAGGCAATTTTTCAAAAATATTTTTCCAAAGGTCCGTAATTTTGCTGATTTTTGGGCCATACATGTACTCTCTCTAACATCGTTGGAATTTTCGGATTCCGATGTTCCCAGTGAGGTTATCATGCCCGCCATCAAAAATAAGGAATTTTCTTTAATCCCATAATCCATAATCCCTTAAGTCGTTGAATGAATATAGAGAATACAAAATACAATGCACTCACTCATTGGACTCATTGATGTTGTATAACTTGTTCTTGTAATCCATCATTCAGAATGTTGTGCTTTCGAGTTTGATCGTTTGATCGGACAAAGCACAACGAAGAACAACACAACTTCGGTGGTTGAATTCATTTGCACTCATTCAATGTTGTTGTGTACTCTAAATACGACTTAACATCCATGAATGCGGATGTGCATTCATTGTACGACTACATTCTTGCAGATGTCTACTAAACACTCCCAGAGAAACGTGTCAAAATTTGGATAAAAAATCGAAAAAAAAACTACTTCGAGATAAATGCGTTTAAAGTTTGAGAATCACATTTCCCGTCACTTGATGCTGTCACAATAAAACGGCTACATCTTCAAGAGTTCTTGAGATTTTCACTTGAAATTTTGTAGGGACATTCATGAATTGTGTAGATTCGAATTAATTCAAAAAACTATATTAATTTTTTTGACAGCGAGAATGGCGGGGTTGAAATTGAATACAGGTTTCGGGTGGGTCGCACCTACAGTTGGAAGATGTATGGGCATTCGCAAATGCTCAAAACAACAACAAAAATAACAAAAACATATGTCCAACACTTTCTGTTACACACACATTAATTCGCTGTGTGTGTTTACTTTTTTATGATCATTCACGAACGTATTTCCATTTTTTATGGAATCAAATAAGCTGGGGTTTGCAAATACCTTTTTTTAAATTGTACCATTATTCGTTACAGTTTTAAAGTACTTTTTTATTTACAATTACAGCCTCCACTTTAACGAATATTGATGTCAACATTGTTCTAAATTTTGGCTGTACTGGTTCAGGTCTTTCTGAAGTTAGGTGGGCGGGTTTGGGCATCCAAATGAAATAATGCGGCTTATCAAAATAACCATTGCCACATACCAGGCAGATGTTCTGGACCATACCTTCAGGTTTTTGATCAATACGAATGAAGGCTGTTGCATTGTCTTGATAACAACTGAGTTGTTACCGGATTTCTACTGCTATGAACGAGGTCGTTTTTGACCATTCAAAAAAGTGGCGACCACTTCATTTAGCACGTAATTATTTTTTATCCCCGTACATTAATGTACGATAAGACGTTAAAAACGATTTCGGCCGTTGTTCATCGGATTCCCGCTTATCCAATTTCCGCCCGAAAAATTTACTCCCTCGCACAGCTGGTTATTGTCTACCAAAAGTATGTTAATGTCAGAAAATATCGCTAATAGTGTTTTTACACGATATGTATTTTACATATGTGTTGCATATCTTATTGACACATTGAAATTTCCGTATGTTTCACAGTGACAGCACATATGAGCACTTCCGCAGTCACTTACACGACTTTCAGAGGAAAAATCAAATTTTAAATCTTAAATAAATCGAAAACAATTCATTTTTTCTGCACTGTCTGCATTTATAGTCTTTAAATTAGTATTTATGCTAAGAACAAGAAGAAGAAATAACAAATGTGGTCTTTCTTTGTATTTTTTGCCTTTACTTTAGGTATTTAAGCACAATTAAAGAAACAAATTCTTCGACTTTGGTTTACCTTTTTGCGGAAGTGCCCATATGTAAAATACATATCGTGTAAAAACACCATAACGCAGGTACTTTGCAATAAAATACTCAGACGTATCAATAGAAACCTTAATATGACTCACCTTGGGCTATTCTTACCTTAAAGCTTCATTTTTGTTTCCTAGATCGTCACGACCATAATACTTCTGCGACACATATAATTCACTATTTTTTAATTGGAGGGAGTCGTGGCATAAATATGTATTTTAACTTAAATCGCCGCTTGGACAAAAATCATTCCAATCAACTATTCCGGCCAATGTCATCATATTCCATACACAGTCCCTATTGAAAATGTAAACATTTGATCAACGTAGTATAAAAATGTCGGAACATATGATATACACATATCGTTAGATTTATTAACTATATTACAAATTTATAAAAAAATCTTAGATTTTGAAATTGTAGTCGCTAATTTAAGTGGTTATCGGAACACTTTAAGTTGTCCTAAGTACTATTTTTATGTTTTATTAAAAATATATATGAGTAAAAAATCTTATCCAAATATAATAATCGTTCTGATGTCATAGTGTAAGCGGCTTATAAGTTTCTGTTTACTAAGAAAGATAAAAGTGTTAAGAGCAGGGACAACGTAATGCTTTGTGTGACCGTAGATGCAGATCCCTTTAATTCTCCAATGTTACAATCGTTAGAATAACAGATCTGGCAGTCGTTATCATTATTTTCGCAAGCCAATTGTGATGCACAACCACGAGTGACAATGCCATCAGCCGATAGCTTGGAAATACAACTATCGTTTTGAACATAAATAGGACAAATGAGGGGATTGTTTGGGTTGGAAACACAATCTTTGTCAGATACAGAGTTGCAGATATGGCATGAACGGCGATTGGCGGGGAAAATCTGAGTGAAGAGAATATAAAGGTATATATATAAATTCTTTGAAATTATGATTTAAAAAAATATTACATACCTCATTATTGCACTTGGAGCCTGAACAGACGGCACAAGTGCCGGAAACCACACACCACTGTTCAGCTTCGTTTAAACTACTAAGGCAACCTCTGATTGTGTGTCCTTCTGAATTGATGCGTGTTACACACTGGTTGTTAGGTGCTGTGCATGTATCGGTTGTGGTGATCTGCGTGGGGTTCTGACTACAGTTTGGTGTCTTACTAGAGTCACAGGCAAGACATACACCTTCGGATGGCAATCGTGACAATTCATTACAATCAAGACCTTCACATTTGTATAGTTTATTTTGAGCCTCCCATTCAGCCAAATCACTTGTATTTTGTGCAGAGGCACAACCAAGCAAATCTACTTTGCCGTTTTCGTATTTCGCAAAGCAATAATCGTTCTTCGCATACAATTCACAATATTGTCCTGTGCTGGATGTGCACGAACTTCCTGTACAAACGTGGCACTTCAAACGATCTTGAGGGAATACAAATTTGTTGCAATTGTTTTCGGCGCAACTAGCACACTCATTACTGCCTGATTCATTGCAATTATTTTGAACTCTCAATTCCTTATCATCTAAACAAGAACGAATAACACGTTGATCCTGCATTGCTACCATACACTTTTTGTAACATTTTCTGGAATTGAAGCCGGAACCATCTGGATTTAAAGTACATAGGGGGTCTTTTGATGAATCGCAGAAAGCACAGTCCACATATTCTGATAAACTCCACGCCACGTTACATTCGTTAGACTTGCATCTGACACATAAGTCGGGATTCTGACGACAGTACAAGTCTTTGTAATTCTCCACATCGTCCGAACAACCACGACGATCAACCTCCCCATTTGATTTGAAAACAGTCATGCAGTCTTGGTTGATATTTCGGCTAGAGCATGTTTCAGCTGAACCTAGCGAGTTTAGGCATTGCTCCCCTTCACATGTGAAACAGCGAAGAGGAAGAGGTTGCCACACGCCATGGTAGCCGTCATCAATTTTGTTAACCAAATCTATTGAATTACATTCAGAGCCGAAACATGATCGGCACGTGGAACTATAGCCTGCGTCACAATATACATCGCTTTTACAACCACGAACAGTTATATTTCCGCTTATCGCTGTTATGCACGTTTCGGACTCACTAACAATTCGACAAGGGTATTTTGAAGTAGGGAATGATTCACAATTTGATTCTTCCTCAGATGTACATGTGAAACATTGTTGCCGGTTGGCGGGGAATATCTATTAATACAGTATATATTTATAGACTTGAATTCTTTAATTCAATGCAAACTTACCTCGCGGTTACACCCATCACCACTACAGGCTTTGCAGTTCTCATCTGTGCCCAGAATACAAGCAACAAAATCATTGTCTGTTAAATCTGTCAGACAGCCTCTCTCGGTAGTGCCACCTACAATATTCGAAATTAAGGATAAATAGTGCCCAAATTATAGTGTAGTGTAGAGGATTATACATACTTTCAGTTAGTTTGCTAAAACAGCCGGTATAGGGTAAATTGCTGCACGTTCTGAACGATGCTATCTCAAATGGTTTTACAGCGCACGATGCGTCGTCACCGGACTCGCACACCGCACACCTTTGAGCTGTTGAAATAGTGTCCAGTGAATTGCAGTTGACCCCATTGCATATTGAAACTTTCTTAGTTTTAATTATGTTTTCCAATGGCTGATTACGGAAAGAACTCACGCAGCCCATTTCAGTTACACTATTTGTGTCGTCAAATTTGATATAGCACTGGTCAAATTCTTTGTACAACGGACAAGTTTGAATTACTGGATCTACACAGTTTTCACCATCGCAAGTGTAACATGTGAAACGGGTTTCTGGAACATCATGTGTGTTACATTTTACTCCTGTACATGATTTGCATTTGGCGTCATTGCCGCTAGAACACTCGGTCTGATTGGAGAGTTCTTTGTCGTTTAAGCATGTTCGTATTAAATCATATGAAGGGTTGTAGGAGCTATCCGATGGGTAAAGAGCCGTCATGCAACCTCCTTGGCATTGTCGAACTTTATGTTTTGGATTTAATGGGTCCCATATGCATTCCAGGTCTTTGTTTGAGTCGCAGTAAATACACTCGGTGAATTCCGTTAGTGATACAGCAGTATTGCAGTTGTTTGATTTACAATTGAAGCATTTCTCTTCGTTTGCATCGCAGTATACTCTGTACTCATTTTCTACTGTGTCAGTGCATCCACGTCGAACTACCTTACCGGTGTTGTCGAAAACAGTCATACAATCTTGCTCGTTATTTAAATCGCAGGTAAGGGACTTTGTAGTTTGCGATGAGTCACACTCAGTTCCGGAGCATGTAAGGCAAGTCAAAGGGAGGTCTTGCCACATGCCGTAATTGTCATCTTGTTTCTTGGATAAATTTATTGTATTGCAGCCTTCGCCGGAACATTTGACACATTTTCGGGGATTTGTTACGTCACATACCAAGTTAGAGCTGCATCCACGATATGTAACATTGTTGCGGAAGGAAGTTACACACGTATCATCTTTATCATACGAAGGACAAATGCCCAAACTGTTGGGTGTATTTTCGCAACTTGGGTCAATAGAGGAATCACAAATATGACACATCAATCGGTTTTCAGGGAAGATTTTGGTATTACATTTGTCGCCAACGCACTTTTTGCATGTATCTGAAGTATCATTCAAGCAGGTCAGGAATTCTTCATCATACAAATTGGACAAACAACCTCGTTCGGTGGCACCATCTGGTAATACGCGAGAATAACATTCTGTAAAAGGTAAGGCAGAGCATGTTGTGTAACCCGTCACCTTAGATGGATTAACAGCACAATCTTTATCGGTACGGGAGTTGCAAAGGGTACAGACTTGAGCAGTTGGTAAGTTGTCCATATGGTTACAGCCTTCAGCCTCACAAATGTGAAGTCGCTTTTGTTTCACCAAATAATTTGCGTCTTCATGGCTAAATTCACTACTACAGCCCAAAGCAACAACAGATCGTTTTTCGTCAAAACGGATATAGCACTTATCGTCAGGCCGGTATGTTGAACATTGCTGAATTTCGGGATCCTGGCAGGAATCGCCTTCACAGATGTAACAACTATGTCTTTTTTGGGGCATATCGACGGCGTTGCATTTTGCATTTTCACATACTTGACAATATTCTTTGTTGCCAGCTTCGCAGCTTTCTCGGTCATCCAAATCCATATCGTCATAGCAAGACCTTGATAGACCATAGGATGGGTTGGTCTCTTGAAACAGAGGATACAACGCGGTCATACAGAATTTGTAGCACTGGCGTGTTTTAGTAATGCTGCTAACGTCATTGACACAATCTGAGTTTGAATCGGTGTCACATGCTAAACATTCGACATACTGGTTCAAATCAGTAGCAACATTGCAGCCATTCGAATTGCAAGCCATACATTTTTCAGGATTGGCTTCGCAGTACGACTGCTGATCTGCCTCAACGACATCGCTGCAGCCTTTTTGAATAACTTTACCTTCTGTGTTGAATACAGTCATACAGTTCTGGAAGGGATTGTTCACACATGAGCGAAAATCTCCCTTCATTGAACAATCATCCTCTCCTTTGCATGTATAGCAGGTGAGTGGTATGTCCTGCCAACGACCAGGTTCGCCATTTTCATTCGTTTTTTCCAAGTTCACAGTATTACAACCGTCTGAATCACAAATACGACAGGTGCGCTTGTTTTCGGGGTCATCGCATTTCATGCTGGATGAACATCCACGTGTTGTAACGCCATTGCGGTAGTTCGTTACACACGATTCATTTTCGTCATAAAGTGGACAAACTTTGTTGCTATTTGGGCTAGTGCCACATAATGGATCCGACGTTGAACTGCATTGTTGGCATTTTCTACGAGTGGAGGGATACACATCGATTTCATTACACTTATCTCCAACGCAAATCTCGCACAAATTATCAGTGCCCATGATGCAGCCGTAGAAAATCGAGCTTTCTAGTGATCCCAAACACCCACGTTCGGTATGACCATCTGAAGAAAAAATATAAATCAATAACTTTTTATTATGATATATGTATAGATTGTACTTACAGCTATTTACACGAGTGTAGCATTCGGTGTAAGGAAGTGAGGAGCAGCGTTCGATATTTGCTACTAAATTGGGATTAGTAGCACAAAGGGAATTGCTTTCTGAAGAGCATACTGAACATGATTTAGGCGAGGGGATATTATGTGGGGAGTTGCATTCCTTTTCGTTGCACAAAAGCAGTTGTTTTTGTTTCACGAGTTCGGTTACAACATCGGATTCAAACTCACTACGACATCCCATGCCAACAATTGAACTTTCATTGTTGAAAAGAGTATAACATTGATCGTTGGTATGGTATGCACTACATTGTCTAAGTTCCATATCTTCACAATCATCATCTACACATTTGTAACATTCAAAACGTTCCTCAGGCACATTCATTGTGTTGCATCGTGGGCCGCTACAGGCTTTACAGAACTCATTTTTTCCACTGACACAAGCTTCTCTATCATCTAAATCCATGTCATCTAAGCAAGTACGAGCTAATTCAAAGGCCGGATCATTACCACTAGTACGTGGGTACAATGCTACCATACATTTGCCGTGGCACTTTCGTGTCCTGCTCTTCGCCATGTTAAATGCAACAGAACAATCAGCATCTAATGCCGAATCACAGAAATAACAATCTGTATAGTCCTCCAAAGATTGGGCGGTATTACATCCATTCGATTTACAATTAAAGCATTTGTCTGGGTTAAGGTCGCAGAAGTCACCATGCGAAATGCTTACTGCGTCGCTGCATCCACGTTTTTCAACGGAGCCACTTAGACCGAAGACAGTGGTGCATGTTTGTAAATTGTTGCCCGTACACACATTTACAATACCATTTCCCTTCGCACACTCTTCTCCTTCGCAGGAATAGCAATTGAGAGGTAACCCTTGCCATTTTCCAGGCTCCCCTATGAACAAATCTAACAAATTGACAGTATTACAATTATCGACCCCATTACAAATTCTGCAAGTGTCCCGGTTGCTAGTATCACAAGTGAAGTCTGAGGCGCATCCGCGAATTGTACGTCCTCCTTCCAATTTAGAAACACAACTGTCATTCTCCTTGTATTTGGTACATGTTTGGGCGAATAGATTGGGAGTATCTTCACATGCAGAAAAATGTTCCGAATCGCACTGAATACAACTTCTGCGCTCATCTGGGAAAATTCTGTTGTTACAATCATTCGTGCTGCAAATTTTACAATTTGTGCTGTTGCCACTTATACAATCGTTAAATAATTTATCATCGACATCAGAGAGACATCCACGATGTGTTATTCCGTCTATAAAAAGGAACAAAAAGGAAATATTAATAAATAAGTTCGTCAAAATACAATATGTTACTAATCTTACCATCGTCGACACTCATGTAACATTCTGTGTTGGGATATAAGTCACAAACGGTCGCTGTAGCAGTGGCAGGACTTGAAGCACAATTAGGGTCAATATCGGAACTGCACTGTCTGCAAGATGGAGGTTTTGGCAAGTTTCCGATATCGTTGCAATTATCCCCTTCACACAAAAGCAGTCTGCGATGATTTTTCGTCAAGAATGCGTTATCTAAGTCGCTAGCACAACCCATGCGTTGCACATTGTTTCGTGTATCGAACAAGGTGAAGCATTGATCATTTTCGCGGAACGATGTACATTCAGCAGTTGTGTATAGCTCACAATCGGCTCCTTCACATACATTACATTTAAGACGCTTTTCTGGCATTATGATATTATTGCAAACGTTTTCGCTGCATGCTTTACAATTAGCTTTGGTGCCCGATTGACATTCATTGCGATCATCCAAATCGAGATCATCAAGACATCCCCTGGCCAACTCATACGCTGGGTTTTCTTCGTCGGCGCGTGGATACAACCCTGTCATGCAATTCTTGTGGCAAGAGCGTGTGCGTGTTATGCTTTCTGGATGGAAAATACAATCTGAGTTTTCGATGCCGTCACAGAATATACATTCCACATAATCCATCACACTTCTAGCTGTATTACATCCACTAGACTTGCAGAATTTGCAGAATGAAGGGTTTTCGTCACAATAACGTAGATAGTCGCCGTTGTAAATGTCATCAGAACATCCACGTTGTACAACTGTGCCGTTAGTTGCAAATACTGTTCCACAATTTTGTAGATTGTTATGTTCGCACTTTCCAATAGTCCCCGAATCTGAGGTCTGACATTCCAAACCTTGACAGCTATAACAGTTAATTGGTACATCTTGCCATTTGCCCGGATAGCCAATGTTGATGCTGGCTAAATCAACAACGTTGCAGTTATCCGAGTCATAACATTGACGGCAGTACTGTTTGTCGCTGTCATCACAGTTGAATTCTGTGCTACAACCCCTATAAGTATGGCCATTTACCAGTTTGGTTGCACAGAATTGAGTGCTATCGTAAGTAGGACATACGGACGAGGCATCCGGAGAATTTTCACATGTAGGATCATCTTTTGTGTTGCAACGTTGACAACGACGCCGGTCTGCTGGAAAGATCTATAATATAAAGTAATATAGTTATATACATTAAATTTAAATCTGCAAACAAATGCTATATATAACCTTCAGACGAAATTGACAGTTAGCAGCATTTCATTTTCATTTATATCAAAAAAATAACAAAAGAGATTTTACATCCCCGTCTCTTCGTAATATGAAATGTTACATAAACAGTGGTATACTACTGATTGAAAAATCTTAGTTCTTCAAAACATAATTTAGCTAATTATTCTAAACTAGGAACTCACACTAACATAATTATTTCATTAGTAGTATGTGATTGATAACCGTCCGATTTAAAACAACATCCTCAAATAATTATCTACTTCGACACTTATTTTTTGTAAAAGGGTGATACTTCGTAATTTTACAATAACAAATTAATTGTTATCCAATTTCGATCGTCTGTAGTAACTACTTAGTCCTGATTTATATTAGGGGAGTTTGCTTGCGGCAATTTTTATCGTTCTCTTTTGAACTTGCTTCATGCGTCTATACAAGGCAATTCGGTTTCCAAAATATTTTTTATTTGTTGTTTTTTTACATTTAAATATATATAAAATGTCAACAAATACGAAATACACAAAACGAATTGCCAGAAAATTGTTGGTACGAACAATTTTTTTTCATTTTTATTCCCCTTGCCCCTCTCTCCTACAAACAAAGACTTGCCGCAAGTAAACTCGCCTAATCTAAATTGGGACTTAGTTAAATGAAAAAAGATGGAAATTCGATATTTTCATAATATAAATGTCGTTCTATAAATATTTGTCATCGAATAAAAATTTGTGGATAATACTACATTTTCGTTATAAAAAATCTTCGACCTGAAACCGTTTTCATAGCTGTATCAAATAATATTGAGAGGCTCGGAAAAATATAGACATAAGGTCATAACTCTTTGGTTATAAGTACAAGTACATTCAAAGCAAACATGAGCTCTACATCAAAAAAGGCAATTGAATTGAGAAGCAAGAGGGAGGCATCTGGATTGTTTTCAGCCTTTTTCCCAAAGTCAACAGAATGCAACATCCACCGTAAAAGGTAATGCGTATTGAGCAAATTAGAACATCAGAAGGCAATGATATAATTGTTTTTGAACTTGAGGATTTTAATGTGAATGGCAGTTCGGAAAATAGTGAAAGTGAATATGACGGCGAAGATAAAACTGAATGCACAACTTAAAAAAATGAATCTTTTTCGAAAAAATTAATGTGCATTAAAAGGAATTCCAAACGAAGTATACATTCGTAGTATTTTAGGGGGATCATATACTTATTATGGGTTAAAAGACTGTCATAATGCCCACTTCCTTAGAAAAAGAATTGCAATTGTTGCCATAGCTGCCATTTTATGCTTTCGACGATTTTAAAAATTTTGTTGCAAAACTTCTAAAGGAAGATGAAGTTTGAGAACAATTGGTAATAATATATAACTTTTATCATAATTTCAGATACAAATCAGATACGTTCAGATACAAATTTATTACAGAAACTATTAATAAATCGTGTTGGGGGAAAGAAATGCCATCATTTGTTAAATTAGCAATTAAAGCTGTTGTAAGTGATCAAATAGCAGTTGAAATGACATGGCGTGGAACAAAAACCCAGTTTTCAGCGGTTTACTACATATAGTATAATAAGAGGCAAGTCAGCTTACTTTTGTGTTAAGTTACAAACCTTAACAAGCATTGGTATTGATTTACTAGCCCAAGGTAGATATATAAGGTAGCCGCATCGGCGAATTGGTAATATGATATGTCAAAACGGCAAACAAAGCGAATTTCAATTAATTCGCTTTGACATATCAATTTTGAAGCAAATTGTTTTCTACCAATCAGAACACAGCATTTTGAAGTATCAAAAAATATTATTTTACTTTTAATTATTTTTTTGAAATTGTTCTCATTTGAGTAAATTATAATTTTATGAATGAAAATCATCATAAAAATTAAAATCCGTATTTGTAAATGCAATATGTGGTCCACGCTGAAGATGTGTTTATAACGCCACGAAATGTTAGCCCTATACCCACCCCTTTGTATATCGGATTGGTCATATGTCTACCAGCTGAATCAATCAATCATGTGTACCAGTTCACTATACTTCTGTCCGCAGTTATGTACCAATCGTCCTGATATTTCTCATTTAGGTTCGGTTCTGATCAAAGGCAGCACCCACAGTTTTCCGTAATGAAAGGTTTCGTTGCTCTTAGGGCCACAATTATGACCCGAAATCCATAAAATTTTACATTTGAAGCGGACCTGATCAACCAATAAGCATGAATGTTTTAATAATGGACAGTAAACATGATATGTTAGATTTTGTGTGAATAATAATCAAAACTTAATCATATCTAATATGTGGATGTATTTGGTCCGATATGGTATATATATAAAATGTTTGCTTATTCCAAATACTAGAATTTTGTTGTGGCTGCTAGAGAATCAAATATCAGTTATTGTCGCGGACTTTTGCACAATCAGGATTAAGCTCCATAGAAAATTTAAGACCACAGTATCAAATATCAGTTATTGTCGCGGATTTTTGCACAATCAGGGTTAAGCTCCATAGAAAATTTAAGACCAGTGGACAAAATTAATTTCAGAACAATTTTAGTAAATTTTGGTTTGAAATTTGCATTTTGTATTTTCCTACGGCGATTCAAAATTATATTTGACATATAATGTTACCATCAGCTGCCTTGATACGGTTACCTTATTAATATACCTTGTACCAGCCCATTGAAAATCTTGAAGAATTAAAATCGAGAATGGGTGGGGTCCCCTTAATTTGACATTTTTAAAACATTAATTTTTACAGATATGTGCCATCTAAAATTTCCCCAGACGTCGTTGTTGGACCTAAACAAAGTTTGTCAACAACATATTTTACACGCTCGGGATAGTTTTACTTAGTATTAACCTTAACATCAATATTATGTTTGTTTGGATTTAAATGTTGACATTTTATTTTCAAAATATAGGTTATTCATTATTGTTACTCATTATTCATACAATTATTTTACTTTGGGTATCAAAAACTCACTACCAGGCGATATCGTATTTTAATAAATACGGTTATTGAAGAAATGAAACACGCATTCGTCACATCTTAAACGTATCTTCTTAGTGAAAGTTGAAAGTAACTAAGGCGATAATATTTAAGGTAACAAAACTGTGTCATTTTGGAGTGTCGCTTTATTAACTTCAAATTGTGACGAAGAAGGTAACGAGTTCGTGGTTCATTTCTTCCCAAACGGTATAACTTATTTGTTAAAAATGCGATATCGCCCACGAGTATTTTCATCGCCTGGTAGTAACTTTTTGGATATTTTTTGGATAGAAAATGCTTGCTGGGAATAGAATCATTTTGGAAATAAATACCTGTATATTGCATCTATCACCCTCACATGCACTGCATTCCTTGTCGTTTCCACCGAGACAACTAAGCATTTGTGATTGATCTAGGCTACTCACACATCCACGTTCCGTGGAGCCGTCGTTATTGACTTTTGTGTAGCATTGAGTATTCGGGCGCGAGGTGCATTGAGTAACAGTTGGCACATTTTGTGGCGATGAAGCACAATCAGGATCCTCATTCGAATTGCATTCAGCACACATTGTTATTTTGGGGATATTTTCAAAACCGTTGCAGTTATTGATGCTGTCGCAAGTATATAATCGATGAATGTTGTTTGATACGAAACTCTCGTCTAAATCACTGACGCATCCCATTTGAACAACATCACTCTTTTCATCGAAAAGAATAAAACACTGGTCATCGGGTTTGTATTTAGAGCACAGAGTAACATCGGGTTCTACACAATTATCACCGATGCAAGAATAGCATGAAAGTCGAGTTTCTGGAATAAGTGCAACATTGCAAGCAGTACCGGAGCAAGACGTACATTCGTCATCTGATTCCGATGAACACAATTTTTGATCGATTACATCTTTATCGTCCAGACACGATCTTACAACACCATATGCAGAGCTATTTGAAAGCTTATACAGAGCTGTCATACAATCACCATTGCATTTACGTCGCCTTTTCACATTTTCAGGTCTAAAGTTACACTCGCTATTGGTTTCAGAATTGCAATAAACGCATTCTTTATATTCGGTCAAAGCATTGGCGTTATTGCATAGGTTGGAATTGCAGTTAAAACAATTTTCATAATTGACATCGCAATAGGATCCATGTTCCTCCTCTACGACGTCACTACAGCCGCGTTTAACAACTTCCCCGTTGGAGTTGAAAACAGTCATACAGTATTCGCTTCCACTGCAAGTCTGCTGCGATTTTTCCGATTTACAGTCGTCCACATTGGTGCATTCGAAACAAGTCAGTGGCAGATCTTGCCACAGTCCAGGTTTACCATCGGACTTACGTAATAGGTTCCCTTTATTGCAATCGCTTCCATTACAAATCTGGCAATTAGATGGGTCCGACTCATCGCATGAAAGTTGAGAGTTACATCCGCGGACTGTGAGACCATTGTTATCAATCGTGGAAACACATCTGTCATTTGGAATGTATTTCAAACACACTTGCGACGCATTTGGACTGGTTTCACAATTTTCGGAAGTGTCCGATGAACATACGTGGCAAGTAGTACGATCACTTGGATATATCTAAAAAAGGGGTACATTTAAAGGGCTTAGGGATTGATATCAGCGAATAGTTTGAAGTGGATACTTACCTTGTTATTGCAATTTTCCCCTATACAACTCTGGCATTCAGTAGCATTTTTGTTTTGTAAACAATTGTAGAATTCTTCGTCTTCCAAATTAGACAGACAACCGCGTTCAGTATGACCATCTGTAATCCAATAAACATATGTATTTTAATATATTTCCCTGATAATGAGTTTAGAGCGACCGCTTCTTGCTAAGAGGAAGTCATTTATGTAGACAACTTACTCTGTAAGACACGGGAGTAACATTGCGAATAAGGCAATGAACCACATTTTGTATACGACTTAATAGACTCTGGGTTCGTGGCGCATTTGGCATCTGTCAACGAGTTGCACAGTGTGCAGGATTGTGGCTGGGGAATATTATCGATGTGGTTACAATCGTCATCATCGCACAACCACAGGAGCTTTGCAGTCACAAGCGTCTTCACTACTGGGGGATCGTATTTGCTTTTACAACCCAATTCGACAATGGAACCAGTTTCATCAAACTGTACGAAACATTGATCGTTGTCCATAACTGCTCTGCATGTTTGGGCTTGAGCATTTTGACATTCATCGCCCCGGCATTGATAACAAGATTTACGGCGGCCTACATCGTCTTTATTACAGTTTTCTTCCAAGCAAGATTTACATTTAGGATCGTTAGATGATTCACAGTTTTTGCGGTCGTCCAAATTTTTGTCATCCAGACAAGTCCTAATGAGTTCATATACAGGGTTCTCGTCATCAGTTCGTGGGTATAGTGCTGTCATGCAACCCTTATGACACTTTCTGGTGCGCGATATTACTTGCGGATTAAACGTGCAACTGTCGTCTTCCTGAGCATCGCAGAAAATACAATTTACATAGTCCGATTCTGTATTCGCGGAGTTGCAACCTGAAGATTTACAGTCGTAACAAACGTTTCCAGCCTGTGTGCAAACTTTGTCCACAAGATCGCTGCATCCACGTTGAATGACTTCGCCGTTTGCGTTGAAAACTACAGTACATGTTTGATTCCTGTTTCCTGTACACACATTAAAAATACCGGGTGATTCATCACATTGTTCAGTGTCATTGCAGTGATAACATGTTAATGGGAGATCAGCGAACAAGCCCAACTTTCCAATGTCTTCGTTGGCTAAATTTATAGAATTGCAACCATTTTCTGGGCACTCGCGACAGTTCTTTCTGTTAAGACCATCACAATTTAATTCCGAAGTACAACCACGGCGAGTTTCGCCACCGATCCATTGTGTAACACAACCATCATCCTCGACAAAAAGTGGGCACGCTTGAACGGCATTAGGCTCAGCTTCACAGTTGACGTCTGTCAACGAATTACAGCGGTGACATTGCTGCCTGCTTGCTGGAAAAGTGTTTCTGTTGCAGCCACTTTCAGCACATATTCGGCATTTTGAATCCGGATCACCAGCATTGCAAGCCACAAATACATCGATGGGCAAGTTGTATATACAACCACGTTCAGTATGACCATCTGTCAAGAAAAATTAAATTTGTTAATATTTATTATGTATATATGAAATATGCTTCTTACCTTCGCGGATTCGAGTATAACATTCAGTGTATGGATAATTCTGGCACCTATTTTGGGCTGTCACTTTTGAGGGATTCGAAGCACAGTTCACATCGCTTTCCGAATTACAGGCATAACAAAATCTGGCTTCAGGAAGATTTCCGTAAGTGTTGCAATTATCCCCGTCGCATATGAAGTACTGCTTGATGTTGGCTAAAATGTCGATTGTGGATTCGCTGCGGCATCCCATTTTGACAACGCTGTGCGTGACATTATCGAAGTACATATAACATTGATCATCTGCAGCATATCCTGTACATAACCTAGACTGAGGAGCATCACAGTTGTTACCATCGCAGTGATTACAGGAAAGGCGCCCAGTTTCGGGCAAAATATCAGTATTACATTTATCATTGGAGCAGAAGACGCAATTATTTTCTTTTGTGCAACTCTCCCGATTGTCCGGTTCTATGTCTTCAAAGCAAGTGCGAACAAAATCGTATACTTTGGGGTTGGTTTTGCGTGGATAGAGAGACGATACACAGCCAAGAGTACATGTCCTTGTGGATGTAATGCTTTCGGGATTGAATAGGCAGTCAGAGTTACTAGAAGCATCGCAATATAGACAAACTTGAGTATTCAAGTGGTCCGTCATATCGTTACAACCGTTGGATTTGCAGTTGAAACAAAGGTGTGGATTTTCACTGCAGTGCGTTTGAAAATCCTGTAACACGACACTTTCACAACCACGACTTACAACGTCTCCATTCGAGTTAAATACAGTCATACAGTCCTGGTATGGATCACCTTCGCATTTCCTGGGATTCCGTACACCGGTTTGGCATTCATCGCCAACACATGTATTACAGTTTAAAGGAAGATCCTGGAAGACACCATATAATTCGTCTACACGTTTCTTAATATTGACGGTATTGCAGTTATTTCCGAAGCATATTTCGCAATTCTTAGAATCCTCTGCGCATGTAAATTCTGAAAGGCAGCCACGTTTGGTTACACCGTTTTCGTAGCTAGCTACACAAGCGTCATCATGCATAAATGAGGGGCATACCGACGAGGCTGAAGGGGAAGAGTGGCATGCTGCATCAGAGTTTGAGTCACATCGGTGGCAACGCAACCTTTTTTCAGGGATAATCTTAAATAATCAAGCATACAATTATTATAATTTCAAGATATGCAATAGAAAGATCAATTACCTCCTCATTGCAAATATTTCCTTCACATATCCTACATTTATCATCGGAGCCGGTTAAGCAGTTGTAGAATTCATCTTCCACTAAATCCGAGAGGCAGCCGCGCTCTGTAGCTGTTCCTTTAATTTTTTCATAGCACTGAGTGTATGGCATGGTATTGCATTTGGATTGTACCGTTATTGTTGTAGGTTTAGTGGCACATGCTTCGGTATCCACGGATGAACAGCTAGTGCATTCGAATGTTTTAGGTAAATGTTCAAATCCATTACAGTTCACGGAATCACAAATATACAAAGATTTTTGTTTTACTAAATTTATTACAACATCCTCGGAATCAAAGTCGGACAAACATCCCAGCTCGACTGCATCATTGTTGCCCTCTTCAAAACGCATGAAACACTGATCGTTTTCCCTGTATGCGGGGCAGTCTTCAGGAACGGGATCTTCGCAATCATCGCCCAAACAGCGGTAACAAGAATGTCTTACATCGGGCAAAGCATTAAAGTTACAATTTGCTTCATTACATGCAACACACATAGGGTCATTTCCATTCAGACAGGATTTTTGCTCATCTATATCACGATCATTCAAACAGGATCTCACCAAGCCGTATGCAGGGTTGCTTACATCGCTTGTTGGATAGAGAGCAGTCATGCAACCTCCATAGCACAGCGTGCTTGTGGTGATAGCGCTGGGATTTAATACACAGTCCTTGTCTATGCTGGAGTCGCAGGTCAAACATTCACTAAATTGATCCATGGATGTGGCCTCATTGCAACCAGATGATGAGCATGTTGGACATCTGGCTGGATTTTCACTACAGTAGGTGCTGTATTGGGAAGAGACGATTTTATCACTGCAGCCTCGCTGTCTTACTACCCCATTTTCATTGAAAACTATAACACATGTTTGATCGTCATTATTTTCACATTTTTGAATCACGCCTATGCCATGAGCGCAGTCTTGTTCACTATCACAAGTATAGCAATTGATGGGTCCCTCATGCCAAATATTGGATCGCAAGTTGTTTGCTTAAATGAGATATTACAATATTTTTTTAGTACATTTATGACAAAATATGGGAATGGATCATGGGGTATTTAATAAGTTGTATCCATGAATTACAACAACTAATTATATTACAAAAACAACATTATTGTTATGGCTCCACACACTATACTGTCGTAGTGCTACTGTCGATGAACACCTGTGTACGTGTGTGATTGAGGAGAGCGTAGAAGATTCTTTAAAAAAATACAGAAAATTATGATTTTTTCCTTCGCAAAAATTGAATTCTTAATGTAAAATGTTTTTAAGGCTATCTGCTTACTCCATATTTTGTAACAATTGTCACTAAAAGTCTGTCTGCGTACTCGATATTTCGTAACAATTGTTACAAAATGTTGTCTTTTTACAGTAAAAGGGAGTGAATTGATAGTGCTGTTTTGAATTTTGTTTTACTGAGTATTGAAAAATTATACTGGAAAATTTTAAAATTAAATTTAAAATTTTGTACAAGCAAAAAACAAGGGATATGATTGATCAACTCATGTATTTTTCCACAAAGTTGAAATGTATAAGGGTGCGCAAAAATTCGTTCGTGAATGATTCAAAATACATTCATTTCTTTTTGGGTTCATTTTACGAATGAATTTATCATTAGCATTCGCACACACAAAACAAACAAGTGAGAGCACACAACAACGATCGTTCTTTTCGGAAATTCTTTCTGACATTCGTTCACGAATGAAAACAAACTTTCCCGAATGCTCGAGAATTCTCAAAACAGCAACAATAATGACAACAAACATTCGTGAACTCAATAGTTGTTGTTCATGTGTTTTGTTATTCCACACATGTTCAACACTTTATGCTACACATACATTCATTCCTGTGTGTATGTTTACTTTTTTATGATATTTTTGTTTGTTGCTGATTTAAACAGCGCTGAGTTTTTCAGCAACAAATGCGATAAATTGAAAGCATTCGAATTCTCGCAATTTCATGAGAAATTGCGTATTTTAATGATTCTCCACACCCTGAAATATATTACAAAATGTTGTTTACTTTTTGTAATTTTATTGTTTGAAGAAGAATCTCTCTTACCCTTACAATAGACTTTACTGAGTAAGTGCGCAGATAAACCATAAATGTTGTATTTTTACACAAAACTTCTGTAAGAGTGGGAATTGTCGTTTTACTTTTTGTAATTTTACTATTTGAAGAAGGTGATACTCCCTCGCAGTCACACTCTCACAAAAGAACTTACTGAGCAAATATTTTTGAAACAGTGCGCAGACCGACCTTTTACTTCACATCGTCAGAATCATAAGTTTTTTTTATTTTAAAATTTGTTTCTGACAACTTTGAAAAAAAAGGTAATTCATCGGATTAAGAAGGGTTAATTTTGAAAATCAAATCCCCTAAATAAACAAACTGTTGTATTATCGCAGTAAGTGGCTCAATTTAAAATTCATATTTTAGAATAAGTTTATTGAAAATATTATTTAAATAACAAAAATATTTGATCAAATAGGGTTATGACGTTAAAATAACATTCCATGAACGTCTACGAGCAACTTATTGCCAGACTTCGACTCCAAACTATTTTGTTAGTGCACACTTCTATTTGGAATGATCATAATTTTTTATATTTATAATATCACACTTAAATAATCAAGTTTCGCGCCGTTATGTATTCTACATCATAAAGTATAATTTATATTGAGACGATGCCCTCATTATATGGTATTTTGGATGATATGGGTGCGTTTGTTGACAGAATTTGATTCTCACTGGTCGCATTTGTAATTTGAATTGAATGAAATTTGGCACAGTCATTTATTTGATCCAAGGACGAACCCTATTGAATTTTGTGAAAATCCGTACAGATTTAAATATAGCTTACCCATAAATACATCTTTTGTCTGCTTCTATTTCATGTAGATTTAATTTAATGGAACCCCACCCATTCTCGATTTTAATTTTTCAAGATTTTCAATTGGCTGGTAAATCAATACCAATGCTTGTTAAGGTTTGTAACTTTGCACATATATTTTTGAAGATTTAAAAGAGATGAAAAAGAATTTACAAAAAAATTTTGTTATTGATTTGTTGTTGTTTTTTGTAATTAAAGAAAAGTCCTTATTTTTGATGGCGTTAGAAAGAGTACATGTCTGGTTCTCGTATGAACTAGTATTATTAACTTTGCTCAAAAATTAACAAAATGGCGGACCTTTGAAAAAATATTTTTGGAAAATCGCCGATTTTTGACCAAAAAATAAGGAAGATCTTCACCCATTGACTTTATCCTAGTTCTTACGATAGCTATACACTCACAGAAAAACGTGTAAAAATTTGGAATCGATTGGGTTATTAGTTTTTGAGTTATCGTGCCCGCCATTCGCAAAAGAGAAACACGCGTTTAAAGTTTAAGAAGCCCTTTAGCCGCCACTTAATGCTGACACAATAAATCGGCTATATCTTCAAGAGTTCTTGAGATTTTCACTTGAAGTTTTGTAGAGACATTCTTGAATTAGTGCAGAATCGAATTAAATCACAAAAATTTTTGACCCCGAGAATGGGGGGGGGGCCCTTAAATAAATATTGGAAATTGAAACTAGAAATTGAGAAAGATGGGTATTTTGGCTAATAAAGCCTCAGAGCAAGGATTTGTTGTTCAACTTAAGATCTTAAATGTAAATGCCTTGTTGACCTCGAAGTCAGGCGCCAACGAAACGAACTTCTCATTGGGGTCGTATCGCTGGTAACGTAAGAACTTCGAATTGTCACAAGAGACATTTGGGTTTGAAAGGTTTTTTGTAAAGAAGCTATTAATAGCTTCTGGGGAGAATATCCCAACAAAAAACTAAGGGAACTGATGAGGATCAGTGGCGAGATCCGAAACTATAGTCTTCCCTGTCTTACCCCTCGGCGGACAATGCCATACATTCCCCACTAATAAATAGTTGTTTTTTATAAAAACAACAAACTGGGATTAAGCCTGACTATTTTGCAAAAACAAAATACAAATGGTATCCCAAATAACCCGCCAACACTACTGAAGTTGTAGACGAGGCACGGTCATACTGTTTTGTTTATTGCTTTAACTAGCAATACCAACAACAACGTTATGTGCATTCGTCACAAAGTGACGACACATAGCAGTGGGAAATGTATTGTAGTTGTCTGTAAATGCCTTGTTGACCACGAAGTCAGGCGCCAACGAAACGAACTTCTCATTGGGGTCGTATCGCTGGTAACGTAAGAACTTCGAATTGTCACAAGAGACATTTGGGTTTGAAAGGTTTTTTGTAAAGAAGCTATTAATAGCTTCTGGGGAGAATATCCCAACAAAAAACTAAGGGAACTGATGAGGATCAGTGGCGAGATCCGAAACTATAGTCTTCCCTGCCTTACCCCTCGGCGGACAATGCCATACATTCCCTACTAATAAATAGTTGTTTTTTATAAAAACAACAAACTGGGATTAAGCCTGAAAAAAAATATTTATTAATTTCGAGTAGTTCTAGCAATTTTGAGTACATTTGTAACTTAATTTTAAATATGAATGTGACTTTCCGAGCATAGAAGAATAAAAATCATTATTTGAGTCCCCTATGTATCTCCCAGGTCAAAAAATGGGGTTCCAAATTCGAAATATAGAAATATAAAATGTGTCCCTACATAGTGTACCTTAAATTATATCTTTGGTACATATCATTAATTTTAATGTTACAGTAAAATAAAGACCATAATACCAGTGTCAATATGAATATGACAAATTATATTTTAAAAATTAGCCAACAGGAAATTTGTATCCGACTCCTGGGAAAGTTTGAGAAAGGAAATCTTGCTTCATGGAATAACTCGCAATTCCAAAGAAGCGTGTTTATATGTGTTACACACATATACTAATGAATGTACGAAATGCTCTCAACAGTCCTCTCTGAATTGAGTCTGCTGAATGCGCTACTCAATTTTAAATGCTGATTTACTTAAATGTTTGAACCTTTTAATTTGGAATGCCACTAAGTATAGTTAGTTTTAAGGAAAAACTATATCCTCAGATAAAAATATTAAAGATATGATATGCGGTCTATGCTATGGTAAATTGCTACCAAGAGAAAACGAAATACCAAACTAAAGACACTCAGTTTGGAAATTGGGTTTGCGAATGATATTGATAATGTTTAGTAAGAAAGTCTGAGAGGTGCCCCTCATGTAAGAAGCATATTTTCTTCGGTTTATGTACACTCCTGGCTTAACCGTTACAGCGAATTTTATTTCAATTTCAGAAGATAATTCCCCGGACCGACTCCTATTGTTATTACTAGAGAATATCTTGTAATATCGATTGTTGTTGTTTTTTCAGGTCTTTCTTCGATTTGTTTTGATTTCAATGCGTTGTCGACGATTTTTCATCATTTTTTTAGTTTTGAAACCATTCTTCTCTGTTCAGGACAATAATGCTTTTATCGACACCAACTAATTTTAATTTTTTGGCACAGCTTAGGTAATAACCAACGATTATAATATCTTACCTGATTATAGGAAAATATTAGAACAACTAAAATGTAAATATTTTGTTAACCAACAATATTTAGGACACTGGCATACATATATTAAGTTTTTCCATTGTTTGGTTTGTTGCATCAATGATTACAAATGGGAGTTTCGAAATGATGTACATTTACTTATTTTGCCCATATGTGTATTATATGTATATACAAAGAAGAAATGTGCTAGGCAATTATTAATTTTATTTTTACGAGCAAAATTATGTGTGTGTGCTTATCGATTTTAAGATAACATTCATACCATGTTCACAGTTATGACTTCTTATCAAAATAATACTTACATACATCGGAACAAATAATTGTCCAATATTTATTTTATGGTATATTAAACGAGATATCGATGCATAAAGCCAAAAATATATTGTTATACTATATAAACATATAATTAACTTAAAGGAACCCACCCGATTTCAAATTTTTATGAATTAGTGTAGGTTTGAATTAATTAGAAA